CAACAATAATTAGCATTAAAAGATACAGTTTTCTTTCAAAAAAACCCCTATATTTTTATTTTAGCTTCTTGACAGTAAGTGTTGTACTTTGGTGTTTGGTCTCTGTGTTTTAATTTTTCATTTTTTTTTCTCATCTTGATCCAACTGAAAATGGTTTGATCAGATATGCAAGATATTCATGCTGAATCTCTGAATGCCAAATACAATAAATTAAAATTTAGACATTTTCATAGCTTTCTGGGCTAAAAATCATGAGAAAATATAAAATTAGATATTTTCAACTTCATGAATAAGCAAGACAGTAAAGAGAAATGACAAAGCTGGCAAATATCAAACTTGATAGTCATAATGGAAATATTTGTGGTTATTCCTGAATCAAAGATTACACCTTCAGAAATAGTCTTTTTCTAACTATAACTCACTCATAGACATCTGTCTCTATGGACATTTTCAGCATTAAGGTATTTTAAATTCCTATTTTGCTGCCAAGTGTTGCCTCTTGGACATGCCTTCTGGTCTGGTTTTTTGCAAGTTCTTTTCTTTGAGGCAATGAGGTGTTCAGGCTCCAAGTTGCCATGTACAAGAACCTCCTCCAACTTTCTCCAGAACTATAAATTCTAAATTTAGGTTCTCCTCTTATTGTCTGCCTAAAGTACCCTCAAGATGATATTAATACACCCCCTGAAAATATTTAAGAAATCACACTGGCCATCTCATATGAATAGGTGTCTTCTTGGTTTATCTGTTTAAAATAAATCAGGAGTATAAATTTCTAGAAGAATGCTAATACAACCCTTTCAAATTTAGAAATATGATGAAGAATATAGAGAACAGTTAATTGAGGTATGTTTTTGTTTCTTTCTTAATTTTATTCCAACAAATTTACTCTGAAGTTCTAGCTTGTTAGACTCAGATTTTCAAGGAGCTTTGTCACCTCAGCTGCCTGGGATTATTTTTCCAAACTCTACCGGCAGTCCAGCAATAGGTCTGCTTCTATCCACAGCAAGTGATGAATCACCCTGGCCTCCTGATGATGACATGGAACCAGAGTGCAGCTTCACAGCAGCAAGATTTCAAGCAGTTGATAAGGCTGCTGCCATTGGAGGGCAAAAAGCTGCAAAGAATGTTATTCTCAGAAAAATTTTTGATTGCTGAGCTTGCACAGGAGAATGTGTCTAATCAGTTTCCCCTTCAGTGCTGCCATACACTGTTAAGATTTAAGCAAATTAAGCAGCAGTTCTCAATGAGTATGTGCTCTCTATTCATGTTACTTTCCTTCCTGTCTTAGAAACTTTTCGTCACTTAAGAACATTGTATTTTTTGTAAGTTTCTTCACTGGTTTTTGAACTAAACTCATTAAAATGGAGGTCCTTCATTAAAATCCATGTCCAAGGCTGACTAGAAACTGAAAAAAGTCCATGGACTATAATGAAGGTGTATTTTTCTTTACAATAAAATAGGCAGTTATTTTTTGAAAATCAGAACTAAGACTATTAAAGAAGTTTTTCCACATCTAAATTACAGGTCTTTATGCTTTTTTGGAAATGTACTGCTTTGTTCTGTTCTGAAATTAAGAATGTTACCAATATTCTTCAGAAACAGAACAATAGAAGATGGGAATTTGTGGCATTTGGCAATGAATCATAAAGCCAGTATGTTCCTCTTTCTGGGAATACAAAACAAACTCCATCATTCATTTAGGGCACAGCAAGGAACACAATTAGAAAAGAAAAAAGAAAAGGGCCAGCAATAGCAAAATTGGTCTGGACGTTTCTTTTTGCAACAAAAATAGCAATAATTTATAAGGGCAGGCTGTATATGAACATAAGAAATTCCATACTGGAGCAAATAGATGTTCTGTCTAGTCCAATAATGTTCTCTCAATGACAGCAGATGCCAGATGTTTCAGAAAAAGGCACAAAGCCCCTACAAGGCGACTAATTCTGAAAAATGATTTTGTGATTTATGTAGCCTGAAAATGTATATTGCTTCCAGTGCACTCCATCTTAAATTGTGTTGCTGTGCTGAGACAGCAGCCATACTGTTCTGAATATTGCTGCAGTTTGTTACAGAATATTCATATTTTGATCCTGCTATGTCTTGTTGTTTTCTTAACATGATAGCAAATTTTTTAATTTCAAAACATATCTTTTGATATTTGCGTTAGAAACATAGCATAAACATAGAAATGTCTGCCAAATTCTTGAAGACAAAGTGATATTAGAAACAGCGGTGATTGATATAATCTGAAAAAAACTGGAATATTTGCCATTTTCGTTCCTCAGAATTACTAACCGCTTTCAGGGGAAAAAAAAGTCATACAGTAATAGCACAAAATGAAGAAGGTCTACCTTGATGGGAGATAGAATTTTGTGTTTTGTAAATAGAGATGTATACCGATGAATTTGAAGCCAAAAGTACAAACATCTTTAGTTCAAAATGCATATGGATAAACACAAGATAAAGTGTCATCTTTTCTTAAACATGACATATTAAAACTCCACAAATTGATTACTAATACATCTATAAATTTTAGTGGATATGCAGATTTTTGAATTTATTTTTAAATGTGTAAGAGGCATACTGTATTTTTTTACACAGCTCAAGTTTCTGTATCTCAAATCCTGATATAGATAGTTTTCTTCTCGGAAAAAAGAACTTTGTTCAATTCACATAGAAGGAAGTTTTCTTAAATTGCCTGCAGGATTTTATGAGTATCAATCCTATTGAGAGTTCAAAATAATGTTCTGATATACTTTTCTGTTTCTTGTACCACATTCCTTGGGCAGTTTCTTGGGAATTTCTTCAAGCTCAGTGCAGTTGGAAAGTATAACAGACTGGATTTAACTGAAAGATACATATTAATACAAATTAGCCAAACAGGAACTGGTAATTTTTTTGTATCTTGATAGCTCATGTACACAGACAGATTATATGAATTCATACATGCACAAATACATCTTTTACTGGTTTGGTTTGTTTGTTTGTTTGTTTGTCTATAGTGCAATCTCTTGCAAAATCCAACCAAGACAAGACTTACTAGTAGAAAAATGAACTAAACATCCTGCTCTTTCCTGAACTGCAAATTTAGACTTTCTAAAAGTCTGTAAGTCTAAAAAGGCCATTTTTCCACTTTATGTCAGCTAGCCACTCTTTTTCTGTCAGAAAACAGATCTCCCTATAAGAATTCCAAAATATTTGAATTACATTTGAAAGCTGCTTGTTTTCAAACCATTGGTTGAAATCACATTGCTTGGCCTGATCATAAAGGGGTACCAGAGGCAGCAGCAGAAAAGGGGTTATTTGGCACATCCCAGTACACTTCTGAGTATGGAAGCTTTTCTTTTTGTGGGATGATGATAATGAAAAGTCCTTGGCCATGTTTAATACTGATTAATAAGGCAGCACACCACATATGAATCACTTTCTATGCCATACAAAACCCCTTTTCCTGACCTGAATTTTATTGTGATTTGGTATTTTTTGTCCTCAGTAGGAAACACATTGAGTTGAATCGAAATAACAATCTTCAAGCAAGTTGTCAGTGAGGTACTTCTAGTGAGGAAGAAGTACTTCTTTTTCTCCATGTCCACTGTGTATGAGATGACAATAATGGCCTTAAACTGCAGAAAAGGAGATTTTAGGCCAGACATAACAAAAAAATTTCTAATGACTGGAAAGGTAAACACTGTATTAGGTTTCCTGGGAAAACTATGAACTACCTATCATTGGAAGCTTTTAAGGTTTGAGGTAAACTTCTCACAGGCTGTCTATTCACAGCCCAAGGTCACTAGTCTGTTCAATTATCCTCTGATATCACCACCCAACCTATTTTTCCATTGGTCTTTTTTAACAAATATGACAAACACTGATTTTAAGGTCTGCAATAAATATGGTGTAATAAAAAACATAAATTGTTAGGTTTTTTGGGTTTTGTTTTCTTGTTTGTTTGCTTGTTTAGGGGTTTTTGTTTGGTTGTTTTTTTTAGTTGGGCTTGATGATCTCAGGGGCCCTTCCAACCCAGCTGATTCTATGATTCTATGATAAAGATATCAAATTTAAAAAAGAAGAATAGAGGGCATTCGATTTTCTTGCAAGTAATTTTTTCAGTAAACACAGCACATAACCTTTAATAATATTAGCAATTACAGCCATTTTTACAACAAGAACCAATATTTATATATAGCTACATTAAGAGGCTTATATTAATTGTAAGATTATTAGAGTAAAGATTATTTGGTCACAATTTTGAATTACATGTTTTGCAGAATTATGTTTAAAAAATACTTGTATAAATATTATACAGACTTAAAAAACATCCTCAGGATTGGAATTACATCAAAAGTTTAGAAAAACTGGAGTTTTTTCTCAAGAAAAAAACGAGCCGTTAATCAGTCACATGACTGATTCATTTTTGTAGAAAACCATGGATGTTAATGACTAAGAAAAAAAAACAAACAGGCTAACAAAGACAGAGATTATTAAATATAGTATAATTGATATAAAATACAGAAAAGAAAATATTAATATCAAGCAGGTAAGCAAAAGGTATTATATGTTGCAACAAGATAACACTCTTCCCATATTTTTAAACTGGTTTCCAGATCTTGAGGTCCTGAGTTTATCCTTTAGAACACTTGAGAAAATAGCATCAAAGTATTTGTAATGTATTTGATGAGATTTCAAATTATTGTTTTCATTTCTCATGGCAGAAATAATACATTACTTTTCTAAGTTACCAGTTAGATGAGCACAGTGACAAAACCTTAGGAATACTTTATAGATATATAGAATTTTGAAACAGACATTGTTGTTAGCTATGCCAGATATGTATTATACCATAGCTTATTTTTGTCTCATAAAAAAAAATCAACAACTTAAGAGTAGAGTAGAAAGTACAGGAGAGAAAAAAAAAGGAAAAGTTAAGCAAAAAAAAAAAAGGTTATACATTGTTTTGTTACAAATTATTGTTAAAACACGTAAATATAGATATACTGTACCTCCATTTCTATATGTGCTTCTCTCTTGCTGGCCAGATGGTGTTTGAATCAAGTACTCCTCTCACAAGAAAATTAAATTAGCACGTTTTTAATTTTTAACTTTACAACCCTTAAAAGTTCAAAGAACAAAAAAGACACCATCAATTTAAATTCAACTTTGAACCCACTGCTTTGTTTACTGTAGCTGGCTTTCAGGGGGTAGAGCAGGAATTGGGTGGGGGGCTGCTATTATTATTTATTTAATCTTTCTTCTGGTATTACTATTCTATCTGACCTGTTAAAATCAAACAAACTAAAAATCGCCTCCACCCCTACAATAAGGAAATGTAACAGTTATTTGTGGAAAACACATAGGTATACAAATACACACATGTATGCAAAATATGTGTATATAAATATTTAGGCATCTGTCTCTCTAAATAATTTGGGAGAGCAAAGAATGAAATACATTTTCCCATGGAGTTTGAGGAATTAAATTCTCTTAGATACATCCAGGCTTCAAACTACTCATGATCATGTAACAAACGGTGTAGTTTGGTATATATAACTTTTGCCTCACAGCTATGCCTTAGACAATACGATCTTATGAAATGTTTTTTTAAAGTAAAAATAATGAGAAACTTTTTCTGTAATAGCCATAGATTTCACACTGTGTTGTAACATGTTTGTGACTTTCTTAGTCCCCTGATGTAACAATCCATCTGCCTATCTCACACTCCACTGCCATCCAGACAGGTTCATCTTAACAAGCTTGTCTATTGATCTCTTGAATGCAGAAGCACTACTGATAATATTGCTAAGATTCCTACATACAACATTCTAATTCTAATGTTGAAATTCTGAGCCTAAGTCTATAATACATCTAATATGATTTTCATTGATTATTTTCCAAGAATAGACAAAAAGAGTTTAGCTCTGAAACACCAGAAAACAGAGTGGGGATATAATTACTTGCTATAAATAAAACTAGGGGATAAAAACTGGGAAAAGACAAGAACTAGTTAAGCCAAAGGACAATGCTGGCGCAAGAGCACACAGGTATAAAACTGTCATGAATGAATTTAGAATTTAAATTAGATTAAAGTTTCAATCATTAAAAGACTAAGGTTAAGGACCAGCCTTTCAATTAAAGTAATAGAGGAAAAGAAGTCTAGCTGGTTTTAAAATTATGCTAATGGAGAGAAACACTGTCTAGTTGCCTGTAATAGAAGGAATCTAAATCTAATGTCCAAGTAACTTTCTCCCAGTTCTACTATCTGTAAATTCTCTGATTTTATACACCAATACTCATTTAGTTCATCAGTTGGTGACAGTTTCAAAGGATATAACCCTTAAAGTTCGGCAGCCAACTAAATGCTGGCTCTTAGTAAAAGAATTTCATGTGGATTCCACAGAAGGTGGAAAATCAATTCTGCTTTTCTTGAAATTGTAAACAAATTGGCAACTGAATTCAGTACTGCAGGGGTAAGTGTGAAATGTTGATTTTCACTGTATATACATAATCTTACATGGTTTGTAAAAGGATGATTTCCATGGGATGCCAAGAAAGCTGAAAAAAAAGTTCAAGTTTCACTTCCTGTATTAATGCTGATCAACACTCTACAATATTACTGTTATTGAATATTAAAATAATTAGGAAACTTTAATGTTTTGTTTTAGTTTTAAGTTGATGGAGGCATCCTTTCAGTGCTAATGAGTATCTGAAATTTAATCTAGACACAATTGATTATGTGTTTGGCATGCAACTCTCAGAAAGGAGGGCAACTATAGTTGTTGCAAGTGTGCATTGCAGAACTTCCAGAAATTAACAGCAAGAAAAATGGGTGATTGAACCTGCCAGAACTCTAGTACATGGACTACAGCTGGATAAACAATTCAATCACCATATAGTTCATACTTTTATTTAGCTTCCACTATGTACATTTATACCACTTTTTATCCTGCTTCCTATGACCATTTTCATTATAAAGTTCTATTAATAAATATATTTACTATGATTGCTATACATATCTTCTCCAAATTCAGTGCAGTTTCTGGAAAAAATCTCAATGTTTTTCAGAACAGGTTTTGCAAGACCAGAGTTTTTAAAATTCATGGGAATGAAATCTTCAACAAGTTATGTGCAAGTGTTCACATCATAACCACGTACACAAGTCACTTGATCCAATCAATCAACAAAAACAGTAGTAAGTATTCTATTTAATCAACCATAATTAAATAGCGCAATTAGCATTTAAACTGAAGAATTTAAATTGTGAGCCATAGACAGCACATTTTCAAAGAGTGCCTGCCAAGTTATATTCCTTGTAAAAATAAAGCCCTGTACCTTTCTGTCAAGCTATAAAGATTTATATGTCTCTTTTTAAAGCAGAATGCGCATATACTGATAGAAAGAGTACAAAACTCTGAACATGCAGCCCTTTATTGAGTAATGCTCACCAAAAGCTGTATTTATCAGATTCCATCAAAGCAGTCGGTATACACTCAAGATTATGCCATAAGAAGCTCACACCACCACAACAACATTCAATTATAACACCACAAAAAAGTATGACTAAGACAGAATTCAAAAGCTGAGACTTATGATTCTTTAGATCTATATTTATTCTTTAGATCCATAGGTAGATCTATCCACCAATACTTGAAGTAACTTTTTTATCTACCATGAAATGACAGCTAGAGTAGCTTTCTCTAGCTTTCAGGTCTTCTGTAAGCTATAGGCATTGACTTTCTCTTCAAATCCCATTTAGAAGTCCCTTTTCTGTAGGGTAAGGGGTCACAGAGTAAGACCAGTTTTTGTAAGTGCTGTTTTTCTTTATAACTCCGAACAGAAAATTATCAGTGAAGTCATCATTAATACACGGGGAAAGAAGATGCGAAACAGGGAGACAAAACAATTTGAACTACATTTCCAAACAGATTAGTGTGTCACAGAGAGCAAGAAAAATGAAACAAGCTCTCAGTTGGGAAACCTCGTAATTGCAACCAGACAGAACATTGAAACTCAGATAGCAAAACCACTAACAATGGAAAAAGAAAATTTAAGAGACAAATAAAGGAAGTATTCTCATATGTACAACATGAGCTCCGGTAAATATGGCAACAATGTTAATCAGTAGCACAATGTTAAACTGGCACTAAGAAAACATAAAAGTGATTATTACAATGTGAAGTCAAATAGACATCATGCTTAAAAAAAAAAAAAGGAAAAGAAGGGAAAAAAAGGAAATAAAAGAAAGTAAAAGAAAGAAAAAGAGGAAAAAAAAAGAAAATAAGGAAAGATGTTAGCAAAAATTAGGAATGAAAATGAAAATCAACAAACAAAAATGCCCAAAGCAACCTGTTACTAAGCTTTCACCCTCGGCAAATGCAGTCAGGGCTAATGGTAACAACACAACAGAACAATTTATATTGCTCCAGGGATTCCATCAATATGCCTATCTATACCCTCAACATGTGCATGTGTGACATTAGGATAATATAATTTAAAAAAATAATACCCATTAAAGGAGAATAAAAGTGCTATGCTGTATAGTAATTTCTGAACAAAGTCTATGTGCTGGATGAGAAGACAGATTGGGAAAGATATGTTGCCTGGAAAAGCATAAATGGGATCTAAATGGACCTGTTGCTTACTGGATAATTCACCTACCGGACTGACAGTTTTTCCCCAGTTTATTGTTGTGTGTTTATGAATTCTTATGCACCCCAGTTTATTGTTAAATTTTATGAATTCTGTCATACCTCCATATTGTCCCCATTTCTCCCTTAGATTTTCCCCCCCAAAGTTGTTTGTCCCCCTGTCTCCCCTGTTTTCCCGCTCCTCTGCCGCTGATTGGTCACAGCCTGCCACAGTGCAGGGAGAGCCACCATTGGCCCATTCCCTTAAAGACCCGGGAGTTCCACCCACCTTTCCCCTGTCTCCCTATCACACTTTTCCCTGAGTTGTCAATCTCTTGCGCCTCCCCAGTTTAGAATCCACCCCTCAGACCCACTTTATTTAAACCCTTGTTTTCCCTGAATAAAGTGGCGTTGCTGCACGAGACCTCAACTGTGTCGGAACTCTTATTCCAGTGCCTGGTCCCATTTCCCTTCCCCCCACGGACCGTGGCAAGTCTAGTTTGTATTCTAACACGTTTTGTATAATTAACCAGCCAAAGAATGCTGTGCACCCTGACATTAGTTTCCCACAGACCATTGTAACAACTTGTTAATACCATTAATATACCATTGTAATTACTTGTTAATACTGTTAATATATGTTTTTGTTAAAGTTATACAAATAAAATTTTAGTTAAAATTCTATAACTAGAAATGTAACAGACATATTACACTTCTAAAAAAAATCAGAATGTGTTTTCCTAACAAAAGTTTTGTAAGTTAACATTATCATAGGATGATTTTGAAAACAGTGCAGACTTTCAGTTTAAGCATACTAGACTATGAACAATTACTTAACCTCTCAATTATCTGCTCTTCCAAACTGTACACAGCTGGCTCAGAAACACCATGAAAGTTAACATCTCCATTTTCCTCTTTTTTTTTTGATTATGTGTTTATTGATTTAATATGCATAAAAACATTGGCACTTGCATAATTCTTCTACTTATACTGCTGAATTGCATAATCTTGCAAAAAATGTAACCGTAAAGCTTAAAGGAAAATTACAACCATTATTTCATTTTGGTCAAATGTTCATGTGGCCACTGACAGACTGCTTATCCTGTGATTTGTTTGTATAAGTATGCAGGTCATACATTTTGAAAAAAAAAGAGTCATTATTATTTGAAGCTGTGCAATGACAGCTTTGGAAATGAGATTGTTAGCTAGAATGGACCAAATATTACTTATTTAATATTCATTTTATGTATCATCAATCTAATTTTTATATTTTATCTAAATAGCCTTCATGTATACAGAACTACATATTCTGTGTCATGAGGATCTATCTGATGAAGATACATTTTTGTTCTTCCAGGCACTAATGGGGCACCTTGGGCTCAACAGGAATGAAAAACATAGACTA